TAAGACAACGATCTCATGTTCTTCATTTATTACCGATGTTGCTTCAACGATTCAGAGTAACTTTCCGTTACTCTGATCTTGTTGATAGAACTTGATTTTTTTCCGTGATCTTCCTTGTGCAAATTTTTTAACGTACTGTCTACAAAATAGAATGCTTCTGGACACAAAGAACACAAGATTGAGCTTTAAAGAAAATCGAGAGTGAGAGCGAGAGCGAAAGCGAGAAAGAGAGAGAGAGAGAGGGGGAGGAGAAAGAGAGAATTATTCATTACACGCTCTGAGACAAGTCCCCTAAAGCGTAGGAAGTTATAAAAAAAAAAATGAAACTGAATGGACAGTGCATATGATTAGTAGTTGAGATAAGAATATAAAAAGAAATAAGACGAAAGATGAAAAGAAATAAGAGAGGTGTTCTGTCGTCATTATCGTTCGGGAACGTTTCAATTTGCTTTTTAACTACTAATTCCAACACTATCTCAAATATTGGTAACATATTAACGGGTCGATATTCACTTGCTTACTTAGGCGTTTTCTACTTTTGGAATCGGCATTTTACCGCGGACGTTTTCCAACCCTCTGGGCAACAACCTTCCCCCAACGATTTATTTATTGTACCAACAAATTCCTCTTATGTCGTACGAAACGCTGCTTATCGAACGTCGCTAGTTATTCTCTCTTTTTCGGTGAACTCACGACAATTTCCTTTAAACGCGCCACACTGATCATCTCGAAATTTTCCACAGCTTCCCCACTTCCAATAACATAAGAGACAAACAGAGAAGGGGGGGGGGGTGGAGAGTTTCGTGTGGAACGATTCGTTTCGGCAAGTGCGAATTCCCGGGCGTTTCATCTCGCGACAAGTGACACATCCTACATCAAAAACGTCGTACGATCTAAACGTGCGGCAAGCGAAATGGAGAAAGGATGGGAAGAAAGGGGGGGAGGGGGGGGGAAGGGAGAGCGAGTAAGAAACCACGCGCTCGTGTGTGCCACATCGCGGCCACATTAATATTAATGCGCCGAGTTATCCACTCTCGGAATCCCTCGTTTCAATTTGGTTCTTCGTTAACGCCTGGGCACGGCATATGGCAATCGCTCGAGCGGGCGGACGGCCCGTGCAGCTCGGCGGCGGCGGCGACGATGTGCGAGCCGCCTGAAAAGTGCGTCCGCTCCGGGCCCGCGAGTCGGAATGAGACTCGCGGGCGCGAGCCTCGACTTTCACTGGGGAAACCCGTAGGTACATTTGGACGCTCTCCAGCGGGCGGTCTCTCGCACAAAAACCGATTACCGCGCGAAAACCACGGGAATCCGCGCGCTCTCGCAACGTGCGCGCGTACGCGATGTGCCGTGCCACGCGCGGGGTGTGCGTACGTACACGCCGCAAGTGTGTTGGTACCGTCATATCGCGTGTCCCCTCGCGTCGTGCGAAATTTTCGCGAAACAGGTGGCAACAGCGCTCTCGCAAGTCCGTCTCGTCGACGAGCACGAGAGAGGGAAAAGAGCGCACGCGTTCGATCGGCACGAGACGGGAAACGCAGGGGCGAAAGAAAGAGAAAATAGAAAATCTCTATTCAATGGCACGGTGAAAGACGAGGACCCTCGAAACGCGGGGCAAATTTCGAAGGGACGGGGTACGTTGGTAGGTGAATCAAAATTACGTGCCGAGGCGGGTGTAAAACGGCAAAAAAGAATGAAATTTACAGAGAGGGGGGAGAGAGAGAGAGAGAGAGAGAGAGAGAGAGAGAGAGAGAGAGAGAGAGAGAGAGAGAGA